ATTCATCAATTCCAATACAATTAATATTATAAAATTCATATATTACCCCAATCATATTTACTACCTATAATCATGTTCTTAGGAGACTTGGATGGTCCAAATGACAGAACTAGCCTCAAAACTTGTGTTAAATTACAATCGTACCAGAGCTATATATTAAAGAGAAAAGCCGAAACAAGAATCCTGAAGCGAAGGCAAACAGACCGGCCGCCGAAGAAAAAATGGCGAAAGGCGACGATGCTTTGGCGAGGAAGAAGAACAAATCGACGAGGAAGAAGATGAATCGAAAGAACGATTCCGCCACCGTTTCTACTCGCATCGCTTCCATTATCGCCGCCAAGAAACGCCGCAAGTCTGGCAAACGCAGTATGTGCCAGGTAACACTCTCTTCTTCGATTCTATTTTTAGGGATTCTCTTTGAAACTAGTTTTCTATTGAATTGAATTCATTGAGGGACTCGTTTCGCTATTATTGAATCTTAGGGAATGTGCTTTAGCCTTCCTACACCTGAAGATCCCTTCAATGAAAGGCAGGGTAAAGTGGACATTACCAAAAAGAAGACGAAAAAGGTCAAGACTAGAGATGCTCTTCACAAAAAGAAGGAAGACAAGAAACCAAATGTTATGTCAATTGACGTTATTGGCAAGAACATTGATGGTCCACTAAAGTTTCTCACGTCGTGTCTCAACAAGATAGATAGCTCGTTTCGCAGTGACGGTACTTACACTGATGATCAGCATGACAAGTATTTGTTCACTAGCACTTGGGGAATTGAGTTCTGGAAATGTTTTTGGTCTGGAAAAGACATTCTTGAGACTAGTGGGACATCTTCCACCATGGAACAGATTGCTTGGATTGTCTCAACCGCTACAGATGCTATTGCTAGACGGGAGAAAGAAGAGCCGGAGGAGTCATTTAGAAACAGCCCTTATCTCTTATTCCTTGTACCATCTCCGTCCAGAGCATCCAAGGTTAGGATCACTACGTCTAGTCTCTTATCTATTTTCATTGACTGACTTCTTTTCAAGAATTTGATAAGCCATATTTATCATGTTTAGGTCCGATCAGTTTGCAAGGCACTGAAAGGTCTTGGAATTCACGCAGTGAGCTTACACCAAGGAGCGTCACTAGATCATCAGATTGCTGGGTACATTTTATATATCTCCCTTTTTCTTTTGTTTGCAATATAGTCTGTTTTGCAGAGATTGAGCCATGTTGGTATATGAAGGAGAATCTCCTTTTTTTTCCCTCGAATTATGACAAGCTGCCTTTTGACTGTAGATTGAAAAGCTGTGAACCTGAGTTTCTAGTTTCTACACCTGAGAGACTTTTAGAGATTGTTACCTTGAAGGGCGTTGATATATCAGGCGTTTCATTGCTGGTAAGCTATAGTTCATCTCTTGTCCAACATGTCAAAATCGTTTTCCTATAATTACCCTTCTATACCAACTACAAACTTATTCGTTTCACTTTAGATTTTTATGTCAGCTTCTGTATTTACAAATGATAGTTTGTTAAAAAAAAAAATTCCTTTTCGAGCTTCCAAGAATAAACTAGCACCCAACACTATACACTGTCCTGTTTGGTTTGATTGTTTGAGTATTTGGCCTAGTTCTGATTGCTTTGAGTATTTGGCGGCTTTCCAAACTTCATTCTGAATTCTCTTTTTAGTTTTGTTTATGGAAACCTGATCCCTGAATACAAGTAGCTACATATCTACTTAGTCCACACCTTGCCCCAAGTATCATTTTCATGGCAGTTTTCTCTGGTATTATAATTTTGGAAGGACGCATATCGGCTCTAAATATCTTTTATGTGTATAAGTATCAATTGCTCTGTAACTCCATGTAGCTATGGAGCCTCTTCATCGTATATCTAAGAAAGTTTAACACTGTTAACTGATATATCATACCTACACAGGTCATTGATGAACTAGGTTCACTTTGCACTGCTGGTTATCTAGATGCGGTGAAATCCATTAAGCAGAGCATTTCCAGCAAACACCAATCGATAGTTTTCAACGACAGTTTTAGCGCTTCCAACATTCCGGCAGTCCGGAGTCTTTTAGGGGAATCAATTAGCAGAATTTCGCTCAGTGATTCCGTTGCCAGCCAAGGCTCTTGTATTATCCAGACTGTAAATGTCTGCTCTTCGGAGGAACAAAAGCTGCACAAGGTACGTCATTTGATACATTATTTTTATCTATAATAACTATGGGTGTAAAGCTTTGTCAATGTGAGATTATAAGAACGGAAAGTGGCTAAAGTTTGGACATTCAAATCAAGCAGTTAACAGAAGTAGCATTCACTAACAGATTGCTAGATCTTAATCTCACACAAGTTCTTAAAACTAGCATCAATGACGAATTTACCAAGGTTCTAATGCTTCAGTGTTAATTAGACTTCTCTTTTTACGTTAGCGTGATACAATGGATATGAGTAACAAAGTAAAGAGCATGCAGAGTATAAGTGCTCGCCTTTCTATTGTGATGAATGATAACACATTTCCATATATCAAATTTTCTTGCTTTTCTTGCATTTGGCTGTTATCAGCTATCTACTTAGAAGCTGTTACTGAAACCAAAACGCAATTTCTTTTTGTTTTTGTTTTTGTTTTGCAGTTTGCTGAGATTCTGGATTCATCTTCTTCAAAGCTAATATACATTGTTACAAAGGAGGAAAGTTTCAGAAAGTTCAAGGCTCTACTTAAACTCAAGGGTCACTCTGTTTCAGCCTCAGAGGTCAAAAAGAGGTAAGACCTTAATTTTGGTGCATTATTATGAAAGACCATAGCTTTTGAAG